CGTGTGTCTCTGTGTGTGTGTGTGTGTGTGTGTGTGTGTGTGTGTGTGTGTGGCTTAATGTCTACCTCTACATCTTTATGGCAATTAGAGCAGCATGAAAAGACCCAAGAGAGGCAGGAAAAAGCTGAATATTTTAGCCCATTTTAAGTGGATTTAGAGAGGAAAATTGTCTGTTAAGAAGAGTCTCCCTCCACCATTCACATGCATTAAAATAACCCCAAGAATACGAGTTTTTAACTTGTATTTTTACATCATATGAACACACAAGTGTTTCTGTTCAAACATCCCCTTTAGGACCGGTGCCAGCAGAGGGCCATACATTACTCCAGAAAAGAAGAGTATTTAGAGTTGCTGTTGTTTTTTCCTCTCACACACAAAGTGCATTACGTCTAATTAGATTTTTTTAATTTTCTAATTCAAATGAGTGAGTCGTTTTAAAGCACTAAAAGCGGAGACAGACAGCGGTCAGCAGCAGCGTCCATTACGAAGTTTTATAATGAGGCCTCGGTTCGGTTACACGGTGACCATCAGGCTGCTGCGGTGCATCGATTGGCGGCGCTTTGATGTCTCATCCTCATGTTTTGGCTCGATCGCTTTGATTGGCTCTGAAAGGTAATATTTAACTGAGTGGCGTTAATTAATGCAAATGTGCACCTTTGATCTCTGAACCGTGCGCTGTCGCCCAGAAAACGTGAATAGAGATCCAAAAAAGAACAGCTTTTACACGAGCTCCTTGTTTCATGGCTGCAGAGTGAGGAAGCTGGAGTTATTTAGTCTCATTTTAACGACAAAAGTTGAGTAAAATGTCTTAAACGTTTGTGCAGTTGCCAGTTTATTAGGTACACATGGCTGAAACTATACTGCAGTCCAATGAAGAGCTCTTGTATTAAATGGTCCACTGACTGGACATTTTTCAGGAGCTTTCAGCCACATCCTTTTGGGTTTTATATGTGTAGCTTCCACGATTATCATTGCAGTAAACAGCAATGACAACTGAGCTAACTCCCTACTGCTGATGAAGACCTTCAGAAGGGGCTGAAAGCTCTGGGAATTTCCTTTTCGTCAAACATCTTTAGGGAAGCTGTTGAATTGTATTGGGTTATAAAGAGAGGTGTTTCTAATATTGTGTCCATCCCAATCACTGCACAACTACACAACTGGTGTCCCTTAAAGGCAACTTAGCTTAGATGTATTGGTAGAAAGAAAGTATTACTTTAGAATAACTCTGACATATTTCTACTTTACTTGAGTATTTTCCTTCTCTGCTACTTTGTACTTCTACTCCATTACAATTCATAAGGAAATATTGTACTTTTTACTCCAGTAGTAGTATAGAAAGTCTTTCAATGTGGTTAAACATTGAGGAACTACAACATTAGAATCTGTTCGTTGTCCTGATAAAAACAGAATATAATTCTGCATAACTGTAGTTATGCTTCTGTATCATTTTGAATTCAGCGCTTTTACTTGTAATGGAGTACTTTTAGACTTTTGTATCTGTACTTTTACTGAAGTAAAGGATCTGGATACCTCTTCCACCTCTGCGTCTGTGCCATAAATCTCTCTGATAGCCGATACAGAGCTATAAAAAGAGCCATAAGAATACAAAGAAAATCAGCAATGAGTGCGCTGTCTTAAAAAAGTCTAAATGGTCCTGTGATATACAAGGCAGCCAGCGATGAAGAGGAGGAAGACGACATGATGAGTCTGTGTACAGTATAAATATAAATTCATGTTTGATCCCTGTGGCCTGCGTGGCTGACAGTTATTATTCAGATGTGACAACAATCCCTGAGCTGCACTTAACGTCCCATCTTCATCACCACGGCGAGCTCCACACTCTTCAGGCTGCCTGTCTGATCTGTGATGGACATGTACCCCCCCCCCACACACACACACACACACCCACCACCTCCACCACCCATCCATTCAGTCTGCATGCTGACAAACCTCTCTTGTCAATTAGCTGCAGGACCCACATGTCCACCAGAAAAGGATTGATGGCTCTGAATTAATTCAAATACAGTTGAATCAACTTCCCGCAGCCAGCTTAAGCAATAACGTAAATTAAAACATAAATAGATATGATTAAAATACAGTTTGAAAATACGCTTTTACTCAAAAAAAAGCAAAGTACCTGTTTTCAGCTAATTTCCCCAAGAGAATTAAAATAAAGTTGTTCTACTTTGTCACATCAGAGAAAATATTCAAGCAGGAGCTTTAAATCACCAGATCAGGCCACTAACACTTTATTTTATTTATCATGTATAAGCAATATATAAACACTTAATAAACGCTTTATAACACTCTGTAATGTGTATGGGTGTATTCATGAATTTGTCAACTACTGTAAGTGAAAGCATGTGCATTAAGATATGATTACTGATAATACAGTAAAGCACAGTTAGGATAAGTTATAATTACTGACAAATACTGGCCATTAATAAACACTTAAACTGTCATTATCTGTTCATAACCACATTTTAGTGTGTTATAAACCACTTATTAACCGTTTGTTTACATCTTATGAATGCCTCCAGTAAAGTGTGATGCCTACATGATTATTGCCTCAACACTTAGCAATTATAAGCAGTTCATACACTTTTAATAAATGCTTAATAAGACACTGTGATATATAGTTATCAGCAGCTATATGTGTTTATTAATGCATTTGTCAACTGCTGTAAGTGTAAGCTGGTGTATAAACGTATCATTAATGATAATATAGTAAAGCACAGTTGTAATAAGAAAAGTTTGTCCATTAATAAATACTTAAAACTGTCATTATATATGTTTACAACAACATTACAGTGTGTCATAAACCATTTATTAACCATTTTGTTTACATTTTATAAATGCTTACAATAAAGTGTGATGCATATGATTATTGCCTCAAAACATGACTTTATTTAGCATTTAATAGCAGTTTTTACACATTTAATAAATGGTTTATAACATACTGGCATATAGTTATCAGCAGCTATAAGTGTTTATTAATGAATTTGTCAACTGCTGTAAGTGTAAGCTGGTGAATAAACGTATAATAATTATAGTAATTATTATACTTCCCTTCACTTGTTCGACACAGTAACAAACATCTTTAGTGAACTTACTTTTCGCTTTGGGCCTCATCTTCTCATCAGCACTGCGTCCAGTCTGTTGGCAGCCTGTTGGAGCTGTTTGCTGAGGTCCTCCTCACATTTCCCTGCAAACTAAAACTCCTCCTCGAACATACAGGCAGTGAAAAGAAGATAAACGACGTGCCGAACAATGCCCCTCATTGAAGGGCCTGTCTGCAACTTTCACAGATGTCATATTCTCCAGCAATGTGCAGCTAAAAGAGAGAAAAGGGAAAACACTCAGAACAGTGAGGGCCTGCAGCTCTGTGCGTAAAAACTCCAAGCAGAACTGCTATTACAAAAACAGCATTTTACACATATTACCAGCCCCAGAAAACATCAAACATGTGGCATTATTCGCCATAAAATATGCATTCACGGACACACAGAGAGCGATGAGTATTTCTCGTCTTAAGATGAACGTTGTTCTTCCCCTCGAGGTGAAGTGTCATCACCTAAATACTCCCCAAGACGCGAATTTGTGGCTGCTGCGATATTTACACAAATTCGGATCTACAGGGTATATGTAGATGACAGGTGGTCAGCCTCTGCGTGCACGAGGACAGAAGCTGCAGCCTCCTGAAGCTGTGAAGCATCTAATGAATAATGTCCACATATTTAAAACAATGCACTCACATTAAGGAATGCAGAGCTTTTACTTTTTAGACTTGATCTTTAAACGGTATTTTTCTATTAACCCCTCTTATAAAATATTAGAACTTACTATTAACAGCTTTATAAATGGTAAAAAAAAAAACATTTAGATCTGTTATAAACATACATATGTTTTGGGTTGCCAGGTTGTGAAAAATACACTTGGCTGGTGTTCATCCCTTCCTGTTTGGTATTAATGCTGTTAAAATGTTGGTAATCCATTTATAAATACTGTGCGTTCATTACTCTCTAATAATCCAGATGTTGATAAGTTATTAATAAAGGGGTTTAATTAAGCAAGTGTGTAATTATAAATGTTAATAAATCATTAATAAAGAGGATTAATTTACCAAATCTGAAGTTGTAACCTTCCAAACCAAGAGTTGCTATTATAGATGGCTTACAACGAATCTATAAAGCATTAGTTAATGATTAATTAACCATTAATAAAGTAATTTATTGAAAGTAGAACTAAAAAACACTTTAACAGATATTTTACATGTATAACCTTAAATATTTTGGTCATATAAGCCAAGTTTCCACATTAGTGGAAGAAGTACTCAAGCAAAAGTACAAATACCACAATGTAAAAATACTAAATTACAAGTAAAATACTTCAAAATCAAGGTAAAATAATAATCAAGTATCAAAAGTAAAAGTATCCGATTGTTCTGCAGAAAAATTTATGAGTGACATCTTAATGTTATTTTACTGTTAGCTGCTCAGGTGGAGCTTTATATGAAGCCAGTGTAGTCCAGTGGTTCCCAACCTAGGGGGTCGGGCCCTCGAAAGGGTCACCAGATAAATCTGAGGGGTCATGAGATGATGAATGGGAAAGAGAAGAAGTAGAAAGTAAGTTCTGACTCACATTGGCTTTATTTTCTAGTCTTTTCTCTGATCTTTTGCTGTTTTTGTGAAATATTGAATACGTTTGCCTCTTTGGGCCTCAACCGTTTATTTAAATGAAACAATCTGAGAGAAGTTCAGAAGGAAAACGTCTCTTTGGTGGAACCACTAACGACATATGCACTCTTTGCTCCTCTCACAAGCCAAAAAGGTTTAGAACCACTGGTTTCCTCTTTAAACGTTAATGTTTTATAAGCTTTATCCTCTTTCTTGTGTAAAAAACATTGATCTGAAAGTAACAGGCTAAATAAAAAGTAGCATAAAAATGGAAACACTTAAGTACTACTAGCTCAAAATTGCAGTACAGCAAGTACACTCAGCTGCTTTCCAGAATAATAAAGTGAGAAGAAATTCTTTGTAATCATCAGCCTCAACAACTTGATCGTCCAAAGAGAGTTTCACTGTCAGTTTAAAGTGTCCAGCATTAAAAAGGTTTATTCCTCCCACTCAGCTGAACAAACCTTTAAGAGATAACTAATAAACACGCTCAGAGCGACACTGGTTTCTCTCTGGAAGCTGCACGTGATCACACCAGAGCAAGAGGGAAGGAGAGCAAAACACATCCATCATCAGCCCGGGTCGGTCTGAGGCGCCCTCTGCTGGCAGAACATCTGCAACACACACACACACACACACACACACGCACGCACACACACACACTCTCACACAAATCCTGCCAGATGTTCAACATCCATGTCACGATAAACTGGCCTAACATAAAAAGAAAGAAAAGGTGATATTTGTTTCATGTTTCCCATCATTGTGATTAAATGAATGCGTTAGATTCCACGTGAGAGGTGGTGGATTTAAAACGGTTATTCACATTAAGTCATTTTACCTTTATAATTCTAAAATGCACATACATTTTAAAGCGGATTTGGCGCTTTAGTATTTGCATTAATTGCGTTGAAACTGAATCTGCATCAGGAAACAGAGTTCAAATAGATTTTATGTTAAATTTATAACCAATATGTGGTTAAATTAGTGTTTGTGGTGGCTTATTCTTCGCTGTACATCTCGCACTCTGCACACTAAACTAATCGTATTGCAAAAGCAGAGGAGACAAAAAAAAGAAACAAATCTGTCAAATACGCACCGTGTTTGCAGTGGTTCTTTTTCCACCAAAACTACAGAATGGAGATTTTGGAATATATTTTATTCTTATCTCACGTGCAAAACACTGAGATGTGTTTTCTCTCTCTCCATCGTGACAGTGCAGTCTGGCAGCAGCAGCGCTTCCTCCTCCTGACGCATCTGCGGCTGCAGTCAAATCGTCTCCTGACCCAGCGATGATCCCCAACGCCATGAATTATGCATGAGATCCGGGTACAGATTACCCCTATCAATATGCAATACTCATTACGCTGGTTAAATTGCCACTTAATAGTTATGAATATGTGGAAAATGTCTGGGACCCATATAGCCCACCACTGGTTTTAACTTTATCTTTTTCTTTCTTTCTTTTTTTACCTGAAATGAGTTTGAAAAGATTTGGAAAATTTAGCCTTTAGTTTCCTGGAGATAATATCATTATGTTTTATTAGACAAATGCATATAAGGCCACCCGTAGCCCGGAGATTTCTTTATGTTAAATCAGTGGAGGCGGCCGTCCGGCTCAGGCTTGTCCGAGACTTCACCTTTGGCCGCTCGGTGACTTGACAGACCGGGATAAATCACTCCAGGACCTCGCTCAAGTTCGTTGCATGTCAGCTGCATAAAAAGCCTTGAGTTTAGATTTAAAGTCGAATGATGAGATTATTATTATTATTATTTTTTTAGCAAAACATTTTTGCAAATTAAAGCACTTTGTGTGTTTTTCTTATACGAGGAAGTTGCTGAGCAGAATTAGAGGCCTTTAAATGTATATTTTGTTCCAAACAGAAGAAGTTTGTGGATTCAAATCTCAGCAAAACATTCAAAGTGTGAAATAAGAGTTTTCTGCAGGTGGAGATGTGGAAGAATATCTGGCTTTTATCTCAAATTGTAGGAGTGTAAACTGAATTTTTTTTTTTTAAATGAGAACCACATAAAGAAATATAATTTGAAATAAAATTCTTGCAGCCACAAGATTTTTTTTAGTAGAAACATTTTTTTTCAACTCTTCCCAGAAGCTTAAACTAACTAAATATAAGTGGACATCACTTCCTTCTCCAGTCCAGCCTTTCCAGTCCCATCCATGCAGTTAAGCCGTCACTTTCATTCAAGGTTGTGAATTATATAGTACATTGTCTACTCCCCAAAACCATAAAACCAACTTTATGGACCTCACGTGACTATTCTCAGTCTGTAAGTAATATAGGTCTATACAATCTTTGGTAAGGGGGGATTTTTTTACCAACTTCAGCCTGGCCTATATACCTGTAAGCTAAAGCCACTCTTTCTGGGCTTTTTTAGAGGGGATTTTATCACCAACACATTTCCCAAATGGCAAACACGCGTCTCGCTGCAGGAGAGTCAGAGGAGGTAAGTTTGAAAAAGTTTTGTTTTTCTCTGTCACGTTGTCTCTGCTGCAAAGAGACCAAAACAAAAATCTGTGTTGTTCACGTGACACTTTTATAATTGTGAAGTTAATCATTAGTGAGTTTTAATTCTGAAGCAGCTGCTTTAAAAAGAAAGACCTGACTTTGATCTGTTTGTTCTAATTGATAATACAGTCGAGACACGTTCAAAGCGATTGAGAGAAACATTTTATTTTTTCAAGCGCTATGAGTTCACTTACAAATACAAAAAGCTTATTGGCGAAAAAAGCTCACATCACTGCCTAACCACAGAATAACCCTTTGCACTAAAAATTCATCACATTGACAGGTCGAACACATTTGCATTGCTCATAATTATCCTAAACAATAATAATAATAATAATAATAATAATAGTTGCACAAAATATCCTTAAGCTACACATTTGCTTTTGGACTTTATGGATGTGGCCACAAGATAACCATCAAAAATAGCAGTAAAACTTACACTAAAGCGCGTTGAATGGCCCCGGGATACAATCGGTTTACATTCAATGAAGAGCAGCATATGGTTTGGAAACTTGGTTTTTTTTTCGTTTGTTTTTTAACTGTACAATGAATTTACTCCTGTTAGACCGTCAAAGAAGTCACAATAAAGAGCTCAAGTTTAAACACCTTCAAGAGAGGAAGAGAGAGAGAGAGAGAGAGAGAGAGAGAGAGAGAGAGACAGACATAGAGAGAGAGAGAGAGAGAGAGAGAGAGAGAGAGAGAGAGAGAGAGAGAGCAAAAAGCATGAACAATTAATACCCCCAATAATATTTACATCTTGTTTTCCAAATAAGACATCTAAGCTATCATAGTACAACAGGGAACTAAAAATGGCATTTTTAAGACCACAGAATACTTATTTTTCTATCACAATAGCATGCTGGAAGGTGCTGCGCTTTCAAATAGCTTTACAGTACTCATGGATAATTTTTTTGATTATTTTTATCTTTAATTATTATTATTATTTTTACTCTCCCTCCCCCCCAAAAAAAAGTTATTCAGTTGTGGAAGGCGCTGCCTCCTGTCACGAGACTCATGCTTTTCAGCTTATTGTCCTTCTTCCACTTCATCCTGCGGTTCTGAAACCAGATTTTGATCTGTCTTTCGGAGAGACACAGGGCGTGGGCTATCTCTATCCTCCGCCGCCTGGTTAGGTACCTATTGAAGTGAAACTCTTTCTCCAGCTCTAGCGTCTGGTACCGGGTGTACGCGGTTCGGGCCCTTTTCCCATCAGGTCCAGTCATATCTACATTTTTTTTACAGAAAATCCAGAAATAATTAGCAACTGCACTGAACAACAACAACAATAACAACAAGAGGAGGTTTGCACTGCTACACTTTTTTAAATGTTTGGCCGCAGCGTGAGGATGCACAGATGTGGGGGGTCACAACACGAGAGGATGCAGGGAGGAAAGCATGCGACACACAACAAACACTCACACGGTTCTTTCTCAGCTCAAGCTCCCGCCGACAAAAAGCAGCCAGCACACATTAAAAAAATCCAAACTCCACGAGCCATCCAGCGGCATGTTAACCCGAACCCACGTCTACAAATACTGCCCCCTCTTTTTCCCACCATCCACACCGAGCTGCTCACTCATGCAACACTTTGACAGATTTATGACACACCGTCCAGCGTGACATCCGTCCAAACTAAATATTATTAGAGGTGTGAATATACCATGGTTTATGTGCAGTTTCCGCATCCAGGGGAATATTTGTGGCGACTGGCAATCATTTGATGTGGGAGTGGAGGAGGTGGCGTTGGGATCCTGGTGGTGCTGCTGCTGCTGCGCCCGGGGTGCCGAGCTGGAGCCGCCGCTGCCGTGTGCGCCCTCCTCGGTCTCGGAGGCGACGGTGGCGTCCTCTATCTCCGTGAAATGCGCGCTGTTGCCGCCGCTGCTGTTGTTGTTGATTTTGTTGAGATTGTTGCCGCTCGAGGTCGAGCTCCGGTCAGAGGGAGGAGAGGGGCTTTTTAGTTCCAGCGGCTCGTGGCTGGCCGTGGCGCACGACGGCGGCACCGGATCTGGAGACGCGAGCGAGCAGTTGGGTGTCTGTCTGTACCGGGCGTCCGGCGCGAATCCCCGGGCATCCTCTCTCACGGCCCCGAAGTGGCCGCCGTTGTTGGCGCGGTTCACGGTTAGGTCCATGCCATTGTAGTTGTAGCCGAAAGACCCGGAGTGCATGGTGCCAGGGTCTCTGAAGGAGCCGCTCACAGCGCCGTTAGTCCCATAATTTAGTAACTGATAGTCGGAGCCATTTGGATAGCGCCCTGAGAACGAGTTTACAAAGTAAGAGCTCATTTGCTTGGATTTTTAAAGCCTCGATTTGTAGATCTTTGTCGCTATAATCCTGTGTGCTTGCACGATTTATGGACGCAATCATGAATTATAAGCAATGAAGCCCCTACTGTACTTTGCCAGGTATGCGGCCAAATATGGGAGAGCGTTCGGGAATCACGTGCCTTTGTTGACCAGTCGTAAATCCTCACTGATGACTTCAAGAGGTAATTCATGCTCCATGGTTACAAATGATGACGAAATAATGGTCGTTAGGCTCCAGTCAATGGTGCCTCCCCGCTGCGCCCCCGAGAGCCCGCGTGGGCAGAGAGCGCCATCTTCCGTACAGAGGTGGTAGCGCTCTGCCGGGGACGCGCTGTCAGGCCCCCAGAAGCCATCCATCATTTTATGTAACTGCGCTGATAATACAGGCCACAAAAGGCTCAGGTAACACATAACAGAGAAGTATCAGCCGCGCTGTTGGCAGCTTGATGCGTGGAGTGTCAAACTGGAAATTATTTTAATCGTTACGTTGAGTTTTATGTGAATGTTTAAGCTTATTTTATAGGTTTATTGTTGCTTCAGAAGCAGTTCAGTAGCTTATAATAATAATAGTAATAGTACTTATAATAATAATAAGCATATTTTTTTCCTCGAGCACAAATGACGCCACAAGATCTTCCAATATACATCAAAAAGCCTTTATTTCTATGTACAATTTCCTAAACAAAATATTGCACACAATATCCAGATGTGCATTGAACACGAGGTGAACGACAATAAATAACATGTAACATTGCTTGTCTGTACAGATGTGAGTGTCGATGGCACAGCTGTAAAAACAACGAGCCTAAGACTATTATAGAACAACTAACACCACGAGATGTACAGGGAAGAGGACAACATAATCACAAAGTAGGCCTATACGATAATGAGGTAACGACATTGTCAAAAAAACAACTAAACACTAACAATTATTTACATTTTGGCGGATTTTGCATAGTCCCCTAAATAAAGACACGAGCACAAGGACAAACAAGAGGAGGACCTGATTTTAACCTAATGCAAACATTATCACCGTGCAGATACTGAAATAAAGTCTATCACTCTACACGTCTCTAACATGGGATTTGCAGCACTTTATCTACAAAGAAATAATACATCATTTTTATTCTGGGAGTGTGCACACAAACACACACACATGCCTTTCCTTCAGTGTCCTTTTAGCTCTTTTTCTCCGCCTGTTCCTCCTCCTCCTCCGGTGTCTTTGAGGGATTGAGGAGCTTGTTCTCCTTTTTCCACTTCATCCTGCGGTTCTGGAACCAGATCTTGATCTGTCTCTCCGTGAGACACAGGGCGTGCGAGATCTCTATCCGGCGCCTCCTGGTCAGGTAGCGGTTGAAGTGGAACTCCTTCTCCAGCTCCAGGGTCTGGTAGCGGGTGTAGGTCTGTCGGCCCCTGCGGCCACTGTTACCAAATGGACCTGGAAACAAGACAAATACAAATAAATTAAATTCATGAATTAATAATTAAATGTTTTGTCTTGAGTGAATGTCGAAAGTGTAGGAGGAAAAATCTACCTGAGAGTGCACTCGAAATCTGTAGTGGTGTGTCTGAAAGAATACAATAAAGTGGGGATTCAGATGTTTGGTGTATTTCAACTCCAAATCACATCTTAAAACATTCAAATATAATAGTTCAATGTGTATAAAGTAGTAGATTATGATATAGTAATCAACTGTACTTTATTGTATGTAAATTTTGTCCTATAATATTCCTGTAACAGCTTATTTCTATAGGTACGCAAATGGCACTCAATGTCAATATTCGTTTAAAAATATATATATATATATATATTCTAAAATATCCCAATATTTTCATATAATATATATTTAGTATGCACATGACACACATTACACTGAGTTTTTATTGACTTTTACATGTATTTTATTATAAAAAAAATTCCTAAATTATGTCATTAATATATAGGCAATAGGATGCATGTGTAAGCTTGGTGCGTAAAAGTGCCCTCATGGTGCGTTTCCTCTCTTATGACAGCAGGATATTGTTCTATAACATTACAGTAAGGATGTACAGTCAGAGTCCCACTGCACAGTAATGAACAAAGCTCACATGACGTCTAGTTTCTTGAGATATACTATCATTTTATGAAATGGATGTGTTTCTGCGATATTTAGTGTCCCTCTAAAACTGATAAAAAGAACCATTCCGAAGATGCCATGTGATACTAAGAGCTTTAAGTTGGAGCTCGGGTTAATGTAGGCCAAGTCTCTGTGTGCGTGCGTGCGCCTGTGTGCGCGTGCGGTCGTGTGTATGTGGTGATGATGATGTCGCAGCCAAAGCCCCGAAGGCGCACGGAGATCCGTGCGTAATCACAATAATCTCAAACTTTCGGCGGTGTAATCGCGTTAATTATTCGAATGTTTCGGTCTCTAACCGTTAAGATGATTCGATGTTAAGTGTGTGAGTGTCGCGCTCTCTCCGCAGCTGACAGGCAACTCCGCCGCGCGGCTCAGGATGCCTCACTTCATCACGCGGACATGATCTCTTTTACCTCCAGGCAGCGTGACAACACAACAGAGTGAAAACGTTTGTTACTCACCGGCGGAGCAGGCGTTCATCCGCTGCATCCACGGGTAGATGAGAGTGGAGGACTTGTCGTCAATGCTGCTGCCCATGCTGACAGGCTGCTCCGGGCACTCCGATTTGCGGTGCTCCTGGGTGACGAACAGCGGCTGGTCGTCGCGGCTCGAGAAGGCGCACGAGCCCTCCACGTCCTTGTAGAAAGTCCCGACCGGGTTGTAGTCGCAGGGCGCTCCGCCGCCGGCCCTGCCGTAGATGGCTGCGGCCGCCGCGCTCGTCTGCTGGTAGTAGGACGCCGGGTAAACCTTGTCCTGCATGTTGGCCGCTCCATATGTGGCCGCGTTGGAGTAGTGTCTTAACGGATCGGTGTATCCAGAGGAATATAACGGTATCTGACCCAGGAGAGAGTCCTGTCCTCCCGGTAGAGACACGGGAAAAGTTGAGTTTACAAAATAGGAACTCATTGGGTGGACAACGGGGTGTATATACTCCGGAGGAATATGATTTGTTGTCTTTTATAGTCCAAGTGGTTTTGCCATTACTTTATCCGAGATTTGGTTTTTGCTGAAAGGGGGGGTTGCGAGGTGCCACTGAACACAGAGGGGAAGTGTACCATCTGATCAACCTCTGGCCAATCACCGCAGTCTGTGCTTGCACTATTGCACCCATGGGGGGCTCTTGTTGCGCGCGGGGGTCCCCGGTGAATCGAAATGAAGCGCTCGAGCCTGTCGGTCTTTACGCACGCTCACGCGGTTGCGCGCACACACAGAGACGCTGTGACTCGCAGGAATACAAATCCACTAAAAACAAACAACAACAACAACAACATGCTACATACAGAGCAACTGTTCGCGTCATAACTTTTCGTTTTATGCAAATACGGTCCAATAAAGCAGACGGACTTCTCCCCCTCCGTCATAAACAGGCACGCGTGCACAATCCTCCCCCGCTCCCTCTCCCTCTTTCACGCGCGCGCGCACACACATGCGCGCGCACACATGCACGCACATACACACATGCACACGCGCGCGCACGCGCACACACACACACACACACACACACACACACACACACACACACACAC